AAGCTAACTCGGGCTAACCCTGTTACAGCCTTTGTTTTGCTCTATAATGCTAACTTTAGCTGTTGTGCTAGCCTTAAAATAATCTTATTCAAGCTTAGAGAAGACAAGCTACAAATGCCAAGGCCTTAAATGGAAACAAATCATAAATCCTCTCTTTAAAATATAGCTAATTTTGCCAAAAACCCCAATAAACTACCCGTGTGCATCTGTTTTCCTTATAGTAACAAGCTCAGCGGAAGTAGTGTTCCACACATTCCTGGCTGTATGTTTTTCCAAAATAAAAGTGGTGGAATAATGTCTTTTGAATTATATGGCTGGTATTTGTCATGTCAAACAAATACAATACAAAACTGACAGACATGTGAACATATTTGAATAAAAATGTGATTTTAATCCTCCCCTTATGATTTGATTGAACATTTTAAGCTGAATATGTCACATGCATAGTGTACTTGGAAAAAATTTTGAGCTACCCTTTATTTCTTTACATTTTGTTTATAAGCAGCTAAACTTTCAGGTAAAGTGGTCTTAAGAAATAGTTCCCCAGCCTTTCTGGAGGTCTTTCAAAGTTTCATTTACTTTGTTCATTGGCTGCTTTTTCATTCATTGTCAGACTAGTTTTTGTACCTGACGATTTTCAGATATTGACCTATAAATTATCAAAGCACAAAAAGAGACCTAAATCAACCAATGAACCAGCGTTGTGTCTACACACGACAGCTTACCAAAGAACCAACTTTAAGTAGTGTCTTCAGACACTTTGTTGCTAGCAGGGTGTTGCCTGTACCTTTAAGTTCAGTTAGAATGTCACAATGTTTGTCACCATCTAGTGGTGGATCCGATTTACTGCAAAGTGTTCAACCCTTTAACTTTCACCTCTTAGGCAGATTTTGCAAGTTAAAGGGTTAACTTTAATATCACAACTTTTTTATAGTTTGATTGAATGTATTTATGTATTTATTTAAACGCTCCAGTAAAGTAAATTTAAAGAAATATATCAAACTAGTTTCGACCCAAATATATCACAAGAAGAGAAGAAACTTGTGTGTCTGTGACGGTAAATTGCAGACTGTTAAGTTGCTAGCATCACATTTAAGGTCTATTTTTAAAATTTGAATTTCTCATCAGCATCAGCACACATCAGACATTTTTTGGTAGGCTAGGTGTTTTGTAACGTGGCTGTTCAGAATACAGTCTAGACAACCAAAACATTTCTAACTGCACAACCACAACTCCATTGTGGCATATAGATATAGCCAAGATAGCCTGTGTTCAAACTGAGTGTTAAGATGGGAAGTACGGTGTAATACTCTTGACATCTGTAAAGAATATGTGTTTTTGTGTTCACATAATTAAATGATGATAATTTTAGGTTGATAATATGAATGCAGTCAATCATTCAGGTAAATTAAAATGAACATGCCTAGAGTTTGGCTTTTGTACTTATGTTTCGTGTCATTTTTGCCTAAATGTTACAAGGTTACTAATTGTTATGTAAAATATATATTTCTTCTTTTTTTTAAAAATAAAATGCTAAATCGGAGGCGTATGTCTCACAATTGAATAAACATTAAGTATTTGTACTTTTTTTTAATTGGTGTAAAAGGTGGAGAACTCCATTCTGACCAGTGGGGACATTATGTGACCTGAAAGATGTAGAACAGGGTGACGTGATGGAATCACAGACAGTACTGAGAAAAGCCATCAGTCCTCACAGCAACTGAAAACCCACGCAGACAGTTTTCTGTCATCTTTTTCATCCATGTTTCAACATTTGTCTTCAAACATGGCATCAACTAGCCTATCAGGTTACGCCAAGAAAATAACATTTTTGAACAGTAAACCTGGAAAACTAAAATATAATACTGAACAAAGCTCAAGTCTAGATGGTTATGAAATAAGGATTAGGTTCTGTGGCAGATAATCATCTCAACAAACACAGAACTTTGTGATTTCCAGGCTATTCTATCAGAAATGGAAACATGATTTAGTATCTTGTAATGTTTCTGTTGAAAACTGAGAGTGCCAAAGTGTGATCAGTTTGCTGCAAGCAATTAACATAATTTTGACATATGAAATTGAAATCATATATATGTATCAGAATGTATGTTTCTATCAATCTATGTATCAGAATCTGAAAACTTTATTAATCCCTGGGGAATTTGTGTATGTGGATTTATGGTAAAAATGGTAAAATGGCCTGCATTTGTATAGCGCTTTTCTAGTCCCTAAGGACCCCAAAGCGCTTCACACTACATTCAGTCATTCACCCATTCACACACTGGCGATGGCAAGCTACATTGTAGCCACAGCTGCCCTGGGGCACACTGACAGAGGCGAGGCTGCCGGACACTGGTGCCACCGGGCCCTCTGACCACCACCAGTAGGCAAACACGGGGTTACCGGTAGTACCTTGCCCAAGGATATTTGGCATGCAGCCAGGAGGCAGCCTGGGATCGAACCACCGACCTTCTGATTAGTGGCTGACCTGCTCTGCCACCTGAGCTACAGCCACCCCATGTATGTGTTGACAATATAATTATATGTTGGCTTTGACATGCTCTTTGTAACAGTTTGTTTCTCAGACTCTCAATTAAACCTACTGAGTTCCAGCGATGAGGTGCAAAACTTTCTCGGGGAAGGAAGCTTTAGAAAAGTCGTCAAGTGTGTCCACACTGTATCCAACACAGAGGTTCCTATCAAAAAAAATTGAAGACAAGCCCGTGATCTCAAGCCCCATGATTTTGTAAGGGGGACTAGATCATTCTTCCATGAAGGATTCATTTGTCTTGAATTTGAGCTCCTTGATCTTAGTCTGAAGGTGTATATGCAAGAGAGACTCTCACCCAGTTTCACATCAGGTTTGCCATCTTTACCAATTTCACTGTGTAAATACAAACTTTAAAGAAAAAAATACTAATTTGCACAGATGTGTTTAGTTAGAACACATTTGTGTGATTCCAGCTGACCACAGCGTTGTTCCTGCTCGAGACCCTGAAAATCATCCACGCTCATATAAAGCCTCAAAATATTATGGTTTTGGATTGCAGACAACAGCCACTGCAAGTCATGCTCATTGATTTTGGCCTGGCTCACCATGTCTCCGATGTTGTGCAAAGATCATGTGTGCAGTCCATGTGGTACATGCAACCTGGTTAACCTAACAAATAATGTTAAAAATATGCACTGAAAGCTGAAAACTGCATTTTTAAGTTTTGAATAATGAATGCCCTCATATGCAACTGCTTCACTTTGCAAAGTGAACTTAAAACAGTGGATTTGAGATATTGTTCTTCACTTCAACCTCTTCGATACATTAAAACCTATTTACAGTTCTAGATATGTGTAAGAGAACTCAGTGGTTTCCCACTTTTTCCTGGGAACAACGAATATGCTGTAGTAGATATCTTCTGCACAGAAGGGAAATAAGCGCTACTTAATCAAATCTTTATGATCTTTCCAGATGAGGTTCATTGTGGACAGTCTGAGTCAGCCACCAGATTATCAGTTAAGATAAGATAAGATAACCTTTATTAGTCCCTCACGTGGGAAATCTGTTGAACAGTGGACAAAAAAGCCCAAGGTTCATTCACCTTGAAAACAGATGTAACCAGGAGACCTGGAGATTAAAGGTCCCTACCGCCTTTCCTGCCTGCCTACCTACCTACAACTAACTTGTCTAACTTAACCACTACTTCGCCTTGTAATCGAAAGGTTGCCGGTTCGAGCCCCGGCTTGGACAGTCTTGGTCGTTGTGTCCTTGGGCAAGACACTTCACCCGTTACCTGGTGGTGGTCAGAGGGCCCGGTGGCGCCAGTGTCCGGCAGCCTCGCCTCTGTCAGTGCGCCCCAGGGTGGCTGTGGCTACAATGTAGCTTGCCATCACCAGTGTGCGTGAATGGGTGGATGACTGGATATGTAAAGCGCTTTGGGGTCCTTAGGGACTAGTAAAAGCGCTATATAAATACAGGCCATTTACTTCTTTATAGACTTTTACAAAGAAACTGGGCACCACCATAGCGACACCAGATTTATTTGTCTCACTTCTTTAGAGGCCTTGAAGAAGGTTGGGGTTCTTTTTGGATCATGCAGCCATTAGTACAATATAGAATAGTTGCTACAAGGACATCTTCCACTGACTTTCATTATAATTCAAATGAATACGTTTTATTAGAAAAAGGGAAACAAAAATCTAATTCAATTTTAAAAATGTGACTACACAGAAAGTATTTTGGTAGCCAAAGAGCTAAAAATGATTTTAAATATTTAACATTTTCTTAATTCCTAAATTACATGTACTTACATGCGCATATACATGCACATCAGTCTAATCTAGAGGTGCCAGAACTAGCTTGCTAAAGGGTACTGGATTACTTTGCAAAGTGAATCTTGTAAACAAGGATTGTTTTGGACTTTTGGTTTTGGTTTTACGAATGGATTATTTTCATCCAAGCCAGAAGTCTGAATTATTGTTAGTTTCTCAGACTTTTTAATCAAAACAGTATCGCCGGTTGGTGGTTAGGCTGAAAAACCATTGTGATCTTTGTTATTTATATTGAATATTTTTAAAAAGTTTATAATTCATAAGTCTATATTTAATGTCTCAAGTAAAAATGGCCATGAAATAGAAAAAGCTGTAAAACTTGTGAAAATACAGTTAAACAACCAAAATGTTTTTCCATCTTCACATTTTCCAAAGCCTTGACACTCCGGCCCTTAGGTGTCGTAGACATACATCGTTTTTGTTTTTTGTTTTTATCTTTATTTTGAGAACATTGAATTTACAAGTAATAATTGAGCTCTATATATAAAACTGACGTTGTCATTGACCCTGACATTAACACTGGGGCCCCAAGAAGCCAGTCACACTTTTCCCTCACTACGACATCCCTGCATTTTTGTTCATGTGACAGTGTTTACACGGTGTACTTAGAAAATATGATCTTATATCAGAGATATACATATTTAGAAACAGCTATTCTTAACTTTTAATCGTTTTTATCTTAACTTTTACTCTGAAGGGATTGATTTTTACTTCCGGGTGGCCTCAGCCGTCTCTGCGTACTTATTGCACGCTCGCTTTTCCACTTTGACTCTTCTATTCTCTTGCAGCCTGCAGACTTCTGCTTCCAACTTCTTTCGCGCTTTACGTCAAGACAGGTGAGTAGGATGTTTATGGGATTCGTCAGAAGTTTACAGCGTGTCTGTAAAATCGACTTTGTATTTCCTCTGAAACAAACCGAAACTAAAGAAAGCAGTTTCGTACGTAAAGCTAACATTAAGCTAGCCTGTCAGGCGGGTGAGCGGCTGGCTCCTTCATGAAGTGTTTGGCCATGTTTTCTTTCTTTGTCCCTGTGCTGCAGCTTGCAGGATGCACTACTCACTTCCTCTCCGCTCTGTTCTACTACAGCTTTTTCTGTTTCATTTCGAAAACGAAATTTAAACATTAAAAGCTTAACTTTTATGGCTGAACTTCGACCCATTACGTGCATTTATCTCTTTAAAACCAAGCACAGTTCCTTGACGATTGTTAGCGTTTCTTCGTATAAATTGTGACGAGGGAGAAATAATCCAGATTTATTCATACATCACTGAAAAGCATAGGCCTTTGGATTAATACCGACTGCTATTTGTTTAGTACAGCGTATCTTATTTGCAAGTTTATCGTTTATTTGCACATTAATTTTGCATACAGGCAATAACTATCCAAAGTAACTGACCGCGCAATAATCCTCGGAAATAGTCTTTATAGGCACAGCGAGAACCCTGCCGTTGGTTTGTGCGTATCATGGTTATGTAACCTTGCTAATAGGCCATTGTTCCCTGCAGGCTGAACATGACTTGCATGTGACACTATCTGGGTCTGCTTAAGTTACCAAGTCTTTGAACCTCTGGGCCTCCTAAGAGCTGTAAAACCTGGCTCTTGGATTGAACCTCACCGCATTTATTTTTCTTTTTCCAGTCTAAATCTCATTATTTTTTTTATTTATCAGAGCTTCATCTCAGGCACCACCCAGCTGAATGTATCTGTGGTGGTCTGCAAGCATTAGGAGTTTTCTGGTAACTGTTTGTGCTGTTTCTCTTTCAGTCATTTGTCTCAAACACCATGTCTGCTGGAAACGCTAAGATTGGCTTCCCTGCCCCAAACTTCAAAGCCACAGCTGTAGTTGATGGACAGTTCAAGGACATCCAGCTGTCAGACTACAAAGGTTTGTAGCTACATCTGTTCTAATTGGCTCATTCTGGCTTTTATAAGCCTATACACTAACAGCTTATTCGACTAGAATTAATACTTAACATTGTTTTTATTTCCTCCTGTTGTGCTGCAGGGAAATATGTAGTTTTCTTTTTCTACCCCCTGGATTTCACATTTGTGTGCCCCACTGAAATTGTGGCCTTCAGCGACAGGGTAGAGGAGTTCCGCAACATCGGCTGTGAGGTTATTGGCTGCTCCGTGGACTCTCACTTCTCTCACTTGGCATGGTAAGAACTCACGGATAATGAAACATAATGAGCATTTGTGGGAATTTGACTACTTCCTGAGCTCTTTACCAATAATAACATCCACACTGCTCACATGTTAGCAGGTGGATTAAGCAGAACTTCAACAAAAGACTTTTTACCTGTATTACAGTGATTATCTTCGCAGGTGAACTGTATTGCTGACTTGTAATTTTAAACTAACTGGGAAGAGGTGACCGTAGTGAATCTTCACATGTGCATTTGAAAATCTACTTAACAAAACAGTTAAGTGAAAGCTGTTCTGTGCACTTGTCTGTCTTGCTGTTTTTATAGCGAGGCCATCTTAGGCTGAACTTATCAGACGTTTATACAAGGTCCATCAAACTATCCTCGGTTGGCCGTTTCTGTTTAGACAGTTAAGGGTGAAGGATTTTGGCTGCTGTGAAGGAGTGCCCAGCCCAGTTTATCTGCAACGTGTTGATAAGGGCGGCATACAGCAGCTTCTAGAAGGCATAAGAAGACATGCGGCATTACACAACCTGCACAGGTCTTCATTTGGAATGTTGTGTTAAAGTTTAAATGCATTATATTTGATTAGGAAGATCAGTCGGTATGTTTCCTCACTCACCTGATCGGATTCATTACTTTAAAATAAGTGTGTATATAATATATTTAGTGTTTTTTTTTTTTTTCAATGAGAAGAGATTGAATAAGCTGTAAAACCTCCATTCATCAATCTGAAGCAAAATGAGTATATATTATAACCAACAGTTAACTGCTAAAGCTCATAGTTAAAATTCTACACAACATATTTGCTATTAAATATACTGAACGATTAGTTTTGTCAGTCTGTCAGACACTTTATCATTTTATTGAATTTAATACCGTAGATGCCTTTCAAGACATTAAAATCAATGTGTCATAGATTTTTAAAAAGTCAACAATGGGCAGGCTTTAATAAAAACGTCTTTTAAAGATGGGGAGAATCGATATTGTGACTGTGGTGCAGGCAAGTTCTAAAAATGAGAAGCAATTTGGGTGAAAGTTCTGAAGCAGGTGGTGAGAGCAATGAAGGAGGAAGAACTGAGTATGGGAACGTATGTAGATCAGAGACGGATGGATGTATGAGGTTATGGAGACAAGCAGAATCTTGAAATAATGTGGCATTGTACAGAAAGCCAATGACGTTGTTATAGGATGGGAGTAATATGTTGGCGCATGTTCTGGTAATGACACAGCAGCTGCATGAACAAGATGAAGTCTGGAGAAGTTTGTGCCGTATACCAGAGAGGATAAAATTACAATAGGTAATCTGGCACGTAACCAGAGCACGTGCAAGAAAAGCTGTATTACTACCTGTAAGGAATGTGTGTAGCCAACTAATATTACATAAGTGGATATATGCAGACTGACAAATATTGATTTGCGTTTCAAAACTTGAGGTGATATTGAATTTAAACCCAACCTGACTCCTCACCGTCATCTTTGCCTGCTCTATTAGGCCCTGTGCTACTCTGTTTGATTGGCTAGTTAAGGTTAGAAAGATATTTCAGGGTCAAAGCTAACCAGTAGCAGAGGAAAGTGGTATCTTCGCTGAAGATGGTTTAGTTAACCTCAGAGTGTTGAATCTCACAACGGGCAGCAGAGACCAGAAGTGAGACATCTGTAAACTACATAAAACTGCAGTATGAGGAGAGTTTTCACCACATTATTATTTTGCTACTTGGTGTTTGTCAGACTGTCTTTTGAAGCATTGTGGAGAACCTCTGAATGCAGTGTGTCCTCATAAAGTTGAACAACTGATATGTTATCCTCTCAGACACCGCCTGTATCTTATCTCTAACGGCGTGTTAAATGACTCCCATTTCAGAGAACTACAAGGTCGAAGGGGTGGCGGGGCAAACGCAAGGTTTATCAACCAGGAGACCTTCCCTGTGGACATTACGTGTTTTGTACTTGTTTATAATATAAAATAAAAAATGTTTTTGTTTTTGGGTTTTTTTTCCCCCTCTCTCTTCAGGGTCAACACACCAAGAAAACAGGGAGGTCTGGGTAACATGAAAATCCCCCTGGTATCGGACCTCAGCAAGTCAATCTCCAAAGAGTATGGTGTGCTGAAGGAAGATGAGGGCATCTCATTCAGGTCAGTTAAATGCCCTTTTAATATAAAATTATTTTAATAAAAACCCACTGGTTATTGTTAAAAAGCAGCTTGGTCTACTGATACTTTAAAGTATTTGTAAAAACTGCAACATCTTGTGAATTTCAGGGGTCTCTTTGTGATTGATGACAAGGGCGTCTTGAGGCAGATCACCATTAACGACTTGCCTGTGGGTCGTTCTGTGGACGAGACTCTGCGCCTGGTTCAAGCCTTCAAGCACACAGACAAATATGGAGAGGGTGAGTAAACTGCCGTACCTTCCCTCAGTTCATCAGTGTTTACTCAGCATACACTGGTGCTCAGGTTTAGTGGTATAACTTATTAATCATGCATTTGTCATAAAAATAACCCAAATACATGTCATTAATTTTACCTGTAACTTCAGATGCTCTAAACTGCACATCACACACTTAAAATGGAAATAGCTGATTGGTAAAATTGACTGCGAAGCTGTGGCTAGATTTGGCGGTTTAGTCCTTCCTGTGTTTCCCAACCAGTCACATATGTACTTTGTCCTTTAGATTATACCAAGTTCAGTGTGTATAAATGTCAGCTTAAAGTAAACTTTGTCCCTCCTGCCACTTCACGCAGTGTGTCCTGCTGGCTGGAAACCCGGGAGCGACACGATCGTCCCCGACGTCGAGAAGAGCAAAGCATTCTTCTCCAAGCAGTAAATGTGAACGTCTCCTACTCTGCTGTTTTCCTCAACATAGCACTTGACCTCAGATGAGAGGGATGCCTATAAAGCAGTATCATCACGTCCAGACTAACCTGTTAAAACACACCTCAGCTTCATGTAGGGGGGAGGAAATGTTTGGTTTTGGGGGGGTTTTTTGTTTTCATGTCCAGTGTACAAACTTTTGGGTAACCTCATCGTCTTGATCACTGAAAGTATAGTTTTGTTGTTCCTTTTTCAAAGAAAGCACTGAAATTTGTTTCCTGGCTGTTAATAATTTGCTACCATCTTTATTAAAACATGGAGGAAAGTTATGATCAAGTGTGTGTGGCTTATTTTGGGGTGTGTGGGGGTTTTTTTTGTTTTTTTTTTTTGTTTATTTGTTTTTTGTTTGTTTGTTTGTTTGTTTTAAATCAAAATGTGAATGCCTGTCCACTTGCAACCCCTAGGTGGCGGCAGAACTCTTCTAAAGCTACTCTTGGCTCTTTTTCTTGGTGACTGAGAACTTAAAGTTCTTGGAATAAACCTTTTTATTTGTGTTTTTTATTGTGGTGTATCATTCTTGGCTCCTGTACCTGGCAGAAGATCTGAGTGCGTCACGAAGCTGCCAAGAGTTGGTTAATATTGGAGTTGCTGTGTTTGACTCAGCACAACAGCCTGTTATTGCCAAATGGTACTGAAGCACATTGGGAAAGATTACTGGATATGATTATATGATAATGACCGTCCTAACCACAACCTGCATTTCAGTTCCACAAACATTTTTGATATCTCACTGTTTAATATTTCCGATTTCCTGATAACATTTGTCTTATTTACTAATTCAGAGAACAACGCTCCAGTACACAATCCTGCTTGTTTTACCGAATGTTCTCGGCTTACTGGAACATTTTCTCAGTTTTACGCGAGCCGATTCTTGTAACTCAAACTAGCTCTCAGTAATCAGTCTAACATGTTTATCTGGAACTTTTTTTTTTAACCATTTTTCCTCACCTAGTGTTCTCACGGCTTGTTTTGGGAAAATGAAAGCAGAATGGGGAAACTCCCTTAACGCGAATAAACCACTCATTGACAAACCTTTTCAATTACACACACACTGTGGTGTAAAGGGGAGCGCGCAGCCCTTCTGACGGGCAATGTGGGAGGGAGTTCCCGGAAACCTATCGTGATGTGACGTTTGATAGCAACATGCACCATATATGGACTGACGCTTGTGCGTCAGTAAGGAAAAATCCTACGCTGGGACGTCTCCAACGTCAACCAACTTCTGGTGTTGTAAACTTCACTGCTGATCAGAGACAGCGGTGTGGTTTAATGTTCACGAGAAATACAATAATTTTTGAAGTGGCACTTAAAAAATACACGACCTCAAAAACACAGCAACACATTTCTTAATTTCATAATGTCATTTACTTAAATATTTACTATACAGGTAAAAAACAAAAAAACAACAAGAATGGTCCATGAGGTTAACTCTAACACAAATAACTTACATAAAAAGCATCACAAATAGCAATTAAAGAAAATGTAAACAGGAAACGCCAAGACGACACTTTCAAAAACTTATTCAAAAATGCCCTAAGTGTTTTAGTCTTGTATTATTTCTGTGTATGGGTGATGTTTCTTTAGACGGCAGAAATCACAATAATCCAGTTTTCATACTAAAAACGTATAAAGACCAGGTTGGGTTGTCAGTCCAGGTACTGTCCAGTGTTTTAATAAGTGCATTATTTCTTCAATAAGACTTTACTTTGGGTGCTAGCATGAGCTGGCAGCCACTGCTCACATGCGTCATGACTTTCTGTTTGAGTTGGGCCACCTGTTCCCGCAGTAGAGAAGCCGTGCTTGACAGTCCAGCGTTGTCATTTTTCAACACTTTAACCTTGTCTTCGAGACGGGCGATGCGCTCCAATTTGCGCCTCCGACACTTTGAGGCTGCGAGCCGGTTCCTCAGCCGCTTGCGCTCCGCTTTTACCCGCTCCTGATTCTCCATGTCGATAGGGGACATGGGCGGGGAGCTGTTGTCGCTGCTCTGCATGTCGGGGACTGTCTGGGGCTCCTCTTTCATCCCTCCGAACCGCTGAGGGTGGATGCCGGCCCCGGCCAGTGAGTGCTGGAAGTGGTGTGATCCGTGCGCAACGGCTTGAGGATGCTGGTGGTACTGGTGATGAGGCAGGTAGCTGATGGTGGTGGAGGGATAGCTGGCAGCAGAGGTCAGGCTGGGGTTCGTGGTGCAGCTGCTCAGGGTTGTATACTCAAGCGGCTCCGGTTGCATGGATGAGCCGAACACCGAGACTGGAGCCGAGCAGCCAACCCCGCCTGTGCCGATGGACACGTTTGGAGGAGCCATCTGGTTCATCTTGTGTAGGTCGTCCAACGCTTTAACAAAACCTTCGGCAAAGCCCTCCTGCTCCTCCGTGATCCCGCGGTTGTACAGGTACTGAGCAGGTGTCGGCGTAGTGATGACCCCGTTGCTGCTCTGGACGATCAGTCGCTCTAATTCAGGAGAGGCGAGCTTCAGAGAGCCCACTTCTGCCGTCCCCGCTGGATAGAAATCACTGTCGGCGCGCAGGTGCTGTGACTTGAAGTTTGAGTTCCGATATGTATCGGAGAAGTTCAAGTTCATATTCTGCTTAAGCAGCTTGTAGTCCTGCAGGGCTGCGCCTGGATGGCCATAAGCAGAGAGAAACGAGTCGTCATAAAAAGGCTGTTCCATTATTGTGGACATATTTCAAATCAGACAGTCAAATACAAGAGTGCGCTGCAAAAGATGTTGCTCGGACACCGAGGCTTCAGTGTCCCAAAATGAGTCAATCTCCAGCACAAAAGTCCCGCTGTATTACTATACTGAAGACCAAAGCTATCAAAACAGAGCAAAACTTCCAAATAGTGGAACTGTACTGTACCAAGTCGTCGATTTGTACCTTTAGTTGGAATCAAAGCGGAGTCCAGTGACTAACTCAGATGTTTTCATTCCACTCGTGAGAAGGAGAGTCTGTTCTTCTACAAGTGTGCGCTCCACTTGTGTTTCCTTGTTAATGACAGGCGGCTGACGCGCTCTGCTGTATTTATATAAGCCCTCCAGAAGACGCTCTGATTGGCTGTTTCTGTATTGTCTCCGTCTGATCTTGACTTGACGCAGCTTCCAGGAAAAACGGACTGTAAACACGACAAGACGTATTCGGCGCGGGGGAAACTGAGTCCAGGTAAGCATAAACACATAAAATAGGCTCCCTCAAGCATTCACACTCATAGTCATTTTTAACAAGTCACTTGAAATGTTACCAACAGCCCAAAAGCGACTCAAAGCCAACCACAAACGGCAACGAGCGCTTTCCAGCTCTGTTCGGACATCTAAACCGCTGCCACTTTGCCTTTCATCCTTAACAGTAATCCCACCAGTGAAGATATATAATCTGGTGCTGAGTCATGTGCTACAAACTGATATCAGCCGGTCCATATTTGGCTATCCTGGCGCACCGGTTCCTCAATGACAGGAGCAGGAAGCCAATCCCATCCTGGCGCACTTCCAGCTCCATCTCTGGGGGATGTGGGAGGAGAAGGGGGAGGAGGTTCGTCGCTGCCCCGCTTTACCCCGCAGGCAGGGAGAGGATGGGTAACTCTTGGGCGAGATGTCTTCAAAAACGCACGAAGCCTAACGGGTGTCTGGCAAGGGAGGACATGTTCGGTGAATCAGAGCAAACTATTAGTGCATTTAAAAAAGCAAAAAAATGTAATAAACAACCTTTAAGGCTTACACTCATAAGATTGAGGGAGATAATAGTCAGCCAACTTGAATTCAGTGCTCGGTACTTTGAATTTACCATGTTTACTTGCTCATATGTTATTTATGTTTAATTAACAGTGTAAGTGTATCCTTCTGAACCTACTGTGTTCCTATGGCAGCATGAAAACATGACACAACCTCTCAGGTATTTCAGTCTAAAGACACGTCACGTGCCCCCAACACCTGTTTGATAGAAAGACGTCTTTGTCTCCCCCGTATGGTAATGACTTCTGAATCACGACCCAGAAGGCCATGCGCACACGCACATCCATATTTTTTCTTCAGTTTTTTCTGTCTTCTGCTTACACTTGTCCTTAGGTCACATTCTGTTTTGATCATGAGTGTACATGTGTTTCCGTTATGGCGGAACCAGAAGAAGTCTAGCTGCATTCTTTAATCGTTTAAAACTTTTTTTTTT